GCAGCGGAGGCGAGGGGGGGAAGGAATGGCGGGCAGCACATCCTCCGCTCCCGGGACATCCCACCGCATCCCCCCCGGGGCTCCCCGCAAACACCCCTGTGCCTCCCTGGGGGAGACCGGCGGACGCAGGGGAGCCCCACTCGAGACATGTGTCCCGTCTCCCCCCTCCCCGCACCGTGGCGGTGTGTGGGGGGCAAAGCAGCCTCACCCCCCCACCCCCGGGGGCAGTGCTTGGCGCTGCCGGGGTGGTTTTTGGGGTGCCGGTGGTGGGTACCGTGGGGCCCGGCAGGCTTCGCCTTCCCCTTCCTGTGGGTCTCACCCCAAAGATGGACGAAAGGCTCTCCTCCCCACGGGAGGCAAACCCCACGCCCTGCCGCGGGGACGGGAGCGGGCTTTTCTCCCTCGCAACCGTGAAGTTCCTGGGTTTGCCCGTGACCTTGAGATGGGAATTTGGACTTTGGGAGGGCGAGGGCAGGCAGATAGGATCTCTTCCTCGCCTTTCACCCGCGGGGCTGCCCCGGCGTGTCCCCGCCGGCTTTCCCGTTGGGTCTCTGGTTGATGGATAACGCGGGGATGCATCGCAGATCTGCTCGCCTGCTGGTTCCTCTACCTCGATTTTTTTATTCCAGGGGCAGCTCCGGCCTGAAACTTACCAAAGTTTCCCAAAGCGCCCCAATAATGGGGAATTTTTTTCCACCGGTGGCCCCGCCGGGTGCAGGACAAACGATGCTGCTGGGTCCTTGTGGGTAATGTCATGGTGTGGCTCGGACGTGGGAGACATCCACTGAGGCCTGCTGCCTTTCCCAACGGCGTGGCCGTGCTGGTGAAGGGCAGCCCTTGCTCAGCTCCTGGCCCTTGGGGACCTCCTGACCTCTCCACGCAGTCCTGTCCAGGGGGATGCTGGACATGAGGAGTCCCTGGAGGGGACGGCTGTGAGGTGCCAGGGTCCCCTGCCATGTTGGGGACGTGTTTAGGAGGGTGATGTCCACTTGTGCTTGCCACCCAGGCTCCTCTGGTGCCAGGCAGGTATTTTTCACCGCACGAGTTTTTCCCAGCCCTGGCTGGAAGAGCCAGTGCTGTCGAGTATTTGTTTAAGCACTGGGCAAGGGGGTTGCCCAGCTACTGTGCCTTGCAAACCTCTTCCCTCCCTGGGGCTTGCCTTCCAGCCTCATCTCCCCCCCCAAAAAAAAGAAAAATGGGAGAAGCAGCACTTGACTTGGAGAGGTTGAGGGTGCTGTGGGGTGGGACAAACCCCAGCTTTGGCCCCTGCCTCCTCCCCAGGCTGGCAAGAGTCCCGCTGCCTGCTCCCGGCCTCCCCATCCCTCTCACCTCCCCCCCTGGGAGAGACCCCCCTGGTGCAGAGGAGCTGTGGGGTGGGGAGGGAGGGGTTCCCCACAGAGGAGCCTGGCGGGGGGGACCAGAACGGTTTGGAAAGGAGGTCACGTCACTCTGGCCGGGCAAGAACGGCATGTAAAAGGCTCGACAGAGGCCTTATTTGGTAGCGGAGCAGCTCCAGAGAGCCCGGCTCGTGGCCCTGGTCCCCATCCCATGCCAGATCCCTCATCCCAGGAGATCGGGGCGTGGGGAGGAGACCCCAGGGATGGTTTCTGGGGTGGGGGGGAAGGTGCCCAGCGAGCAGACCAGCTTTGCCCCTGTGGCCCTCATGTCACATCCCCCCATGCTCCTGCTTTCTTTCCTCCTTGGTGTGTGGGGTTTGGGAGCAGACCCCGGGCGGGACACGGGTTTGTTCTGTTGCAATCCCCCATCTGCTCCCTTGGCTTCTCCCTGCCTTTTTCCCTACCCCGTGCCCAGTGTCCCCAGCCCTGTGTCCCATGTCCCCAGCCCTGTGTCCCATCACCCCAGCCTTCCTTCCCGTGTCCCCCAGCCCTGCATCGTGCGTCCCATCTCGCGTGTCCATCAGCCCCGTGTCCGTGACCCTAGCCCTCTCCCCCTCGCCCCCGCC